ACAACAACAGAAAGATTTATACTTGTTTACAGTGTTCATTGTTGCTTTTAAATATTATAATAGACTTTTTCTTTTTTTTTTTTGGTCAACTTGAGAAAGAAAATTTATGATAACAATGAGTCTTTAACTTCTGTATTTAATGGCTTTTAAAGATGCAGAGGATGAAACAGGAGTCACTTCTGCATAGTTGAAAGGCTACATTGTAATTAGCTAAACCAATATTTTGTACTCTGCTTATAAATGTAGAGCTGTGTCAAAATAAGTCACAGATGGTTTTCTTGGCTTTTGGTTTTAAATTTTAAGCTTAATTAGAGCTTGAGCATCTTTGAGAATTCCGTCTCCCCCTTCTTTTATTTTTCCCCTTCTCTTTAATTCTGCTTCATGAATTAGGGTTTTATATATTTGCAGATTTGGGTGTATTTTTGAAGAACTTACTTTCTTGGCTGGTTTTCTCCATTCCAAAAATAGAGAATGGTTACTTACTTTTCATATATATACCTTCAGACAATAAATATTTATTGAGTGTACTTTGCTGCCTGCTGGAAATTTGCTGCCTCTGTTTTTCAAAAAGCTCTGTATATAGTACAGCGTTATTTACTAAAGAATGTGCCTCTTTCTCTGGTATGATATTTAAGTGGGTTTTATTATTATCTCTACTTAATAAATATTTCCCAAAGTGAATGTACTAATTCATACACCCACCAGTGGTGCACCATCTGGAACACTTTTATTGTCAAATTTTTAATGTATACCAATCTGGTGGCTATAAAATGCCATCTCACTGTGGAATTACTTTACATTTTCATATTTTTGAAAAGATTGCCCATATATTCATATGTATACTAGTCATTCAAATTTCTTCATCAGTAGAATGTGTTTCATGTTTTTCCCATTTAAAAAAATTTGTATTGTTCTTTCTTTTATTAAATTTTAAAGACCTTCTTTACACATTTTGGAGACCGATCATTTGTGCGAACATCTCCCAGTTTATGGCTTACTTTTTCGTTTTATTTATGATATCTTTTTTGGAGAGAAGTTCCTAGCTAAATTTATTAATTTCCTTTTTGTTTATGCTTTTTGTTTTTATGTTTCTTGTTTAAAAAATCTTTTCTACTTTTAGGCCATAAAGTCATTCTTTCTCGTTTTTTTTTTTTTTAGAGAGAGAGAGTGTGAGAGAGTGCACACACGTGCAAGCGAGCGGAGGGCTGTGGGGTGGAGAGGGGCAGAGGGAGAGAGAGAATCTTAAGCAGGCTTCATGTCCAGCATGTAGCCCCACAAGGGGCTCAATTCTCACAAGCCTGAGACCATGACCTGAGGTGAAATCAAGAGTTGGACTCTTAACTGATGGAGCCACCCTGGCACCTCAAGTCATTCTTTTAAGTTGTCTTCTGAAAGGTTTTATGGTTCTGCTTTTAATTATAAGTATTTAATCCATTGGGAATTTATTATATGTGGTACGAGAAGGAATCAGATCTCATTTTTTCCCCCACTTATTGAACACATCTTTATTTTCTCAATAATTTGCAGTGCTAGATTTTTCATGAATCATGTTCTCATATTTTTTGAGTTTCTAGTACTTTCTAGTTGGTTCCATTGACTTATTTTCATTACTGTTAGTTTTTTTTTTTTTTAAGATTTATTTGCGAGAGAGAGAGAATGAGAGACAGAGAGCATGAGAGGGAGAAGGGTCAGAGGGAGAAGCAGACTCCCTGCTGAGCAGGGAGCCCGATGTGGGACTCGATCCCAGGACTCCAGGATCATAACCTGAGCCAAAGGCAGTTGCTTAACCAACTGAGCCACCCAGGCGCCCTGTTAGTTTTATTATATCTTTGTAAGTCAGCTCCACCTCGATTTTTTTTCTTCAGACATGTCTTGGCTATTCTTGTCTATTTATTTATATACATTTTATAATGAGCTTATGAAGTTTTACAAAAGCCCTATTGAAATTTTGGTTTGGATAAATTTACAAGACCAGTGCTCTAACCCATGAGCTATGGAGCCTGGTTTGGATAAATTTAGTCACTAGATCAAGTTAAGGAGAATTGTCATTTTTACAATATTGAGACTGTCCAAAAACATGGTTTCACATTTATTTCATTATTAATGTTTTTCAAAAAAGCTGAATTATTTTCTCCACAAAGAGCTTATGTGTATTTTCTTAGATTTACTTTTAGGAATTATATATTGTTTTGTGATTAAAAATGATATCTCTGTAAAATTATTTTCTTTTCCTAGATGATTTTTGCTAATTTGCAGAAATGCAGCTGACTTTTATGTATCAATTTGGCATCTCGCAACTTCGCTAAGCTCTTATTTGGTCAGCTCCTGTTTAATATCTTTCTATTTTCTGTCTTTATTGGTAGTGTTCTTTATGAACTTCCTGAGATTATTTAGAAGTTATACTTGAGTACTTATTGTCTGCTGGTGGAACATAAACATCATCAAACATTGACCTGCAGGAAAGTGGTCTACCTCAAGTGGGTTGCACAAAAAAACCTAATGAATGAAAGTGCTGGACACAGGGGAGGCCAAAGGAGGCCCATATTACTGTTTTCTTCTATTTCGAGGCCCATATTACTGTTTTTTTCAAAGCCATGAAATAGAAGAAAAGTAATTCCTACTATTGACAGGCTTTGATTTTGATTTTCTGTTTTTATGGATGTTGGATTCTTTTTGTTGCTGTTGTTCATGATTATTGATGTTAGATTTTTTTGAACAAGCAGTAGCCAGTGGCTGTATGGGATGGATGGCTTGGGTAGCTTACTTTATTTCTTGGTTTAGGCAGGCCTTCTTCTCCCGCTCCACTGAAGTTCAGTTTCTTTAATAAGTTCTGCCTTTTTGACCTGTCATCCTCTGCTTCTTTGCTTCTTTCTTGTTTCTGTATGGTTCTTTTTCTTCAGCTCCTTCTTTCTTTCCCTCCATCACGGACAAACTTCCTCCCAAGGGGCCTCTCTCTACTGCAGAAGTGGTTCCTTCCTAAGAACCTTCTCTGGTTCTTTACACTTCTCACACCCTTCTTTTGATTCTCCTGTCTCCAGCACTCTGATCCATCGGGTTTTTTGTACGACCCAGGAAAGGTAGATCACTCTCCTTCTACAGGTCAGTGTTTGATGACATTTATGTTCCAACACCACTAGGATGCTGAGGCACTTCCTTTTTGTTCCATGCTGTCACTCTGGTTTGCCTCAGGATCTAATTCTGCTGATCTGTGATCTTTCTTTGGCCACTTACATGTGAATCGAGGGTTTTAGTAATCTCTCCTTGTTATGATGTAGGCATAGGTGATGGGTGTTTTTATGTGCTCTCTTTGTTGATCTGTATGGGTGTTTGGAGGATGGGGAGAGAAAATTAAATTCAGACAGTTGCCATTACTTTACAGGAATCAGCCTTCAGGCGAAAGAAAATTGTTTTGTAAATTACGCCTTATCTAGGTGCTAAAATACAGTAACTCTTCAGATCTTATCTGTTGCTATAGAGGCTTTTATGTTTTTTAAACATGAATAGTCAGTTCTATTTTTAATTTCATTGCCTCTGTATTCTTTGATTAATTGGTCCTTTATCCATCCTTATCTTTATTATCAACTTAGGTATGGATTGTTTATGTTCTATGATTATGAACTATAATAAGTCATTTGAGGAGCTTTTTGAAAACACAGTGAGATTTTGGAGGAGTAGATTCTGATAATATGTTTGACAAAGTTTGTCAGTTATTCTAGTTTGAAGTCATGGTTAGTGTTGTATTTATATTCTTGTACATTTTGAGATTATGTTGTAAAGTGTAAGTTTAAGATATCAAGAGATTAGAATTCCATGATAATGATTTTTAATTATCACTTCATTTGTGAATGAAATAGTTGGGATAATAATCAGTGTTTCTAATTTATCATATAGTATATTCATTCAACAAATATTTCCTTGAAAGCCTACTACAGATTAGGTATTGTGCTAATTACCAGAAATAAAAAATTGAGAAGTCATTATCCTTGCACTTATTGTGCATAAAGACAGATGTGGAGACATACTGATAAACACTTAGAATGTGCTATGAGAGATACATAGGATACTTTAGGAGCTTGATAAGAGGGTGGGATCAGGTACATTTTGCCCCTTCCTCCCTTCCTCCCTCCTTCCTTCCTTTCTTCTTAATGAGTATTTGTTGGGCACCCATCACCTGCCAGGCCCTGTGGTAGATGCTAGGGATGGTTGGGTTGTGACAGTCATAGTCTGTTTTCAGAGTTTACACTCTTTTACAGAAGATAGATGTTTGATTATAAAAGGGTACTATCTGAGTAGGAGGAACTTAATTAAATTTCTTGGGAAGAGTCTTGAGTAAGTGAACCACAAGAAGTTGGAAGAATGATTTCGTAGGTTGCAAAGACTCAGATTTGGGAGAGAATGTAGTGCTTTTAAAGGTAAAACAAGTCATTTAGTGTCCTTGGAATACAGGGCATACTGAGGGGGTAGATGAAACTGAAAGGTAGATATAGGAGGAGTACCAAAGGAATTCTCTACTCTAGTAGTTATTCTGGAGGTGAATGTAAGGATTCATGCTCTGAACCTGCCTGGCTGTTTAGTAATTAAATTGAGACTTAAAAGATGATTAGGTGCATGCTTGTAGGGTTAGAGGGGCACAGAGTGGTGCCTAGAGGTAGAGAGGCACAAGAAGACTACCTTATTTCAGTAATGTAAGTCATCCAGGGTTCTGAGAGTATAAAACATGATGGGAGGAGTAATGGAAATGAAGCTGGGCAGTTAGGCCATGAGAGGATCACGAAGGTGCATTTCTGTCTGCAAAGAAGTTTATGTTTTATATTTTATTTGTTAGTGGGCTACTAAAAATATATTATGCAATACCCATCCTAAAACAAACTAAATATTAAGATACATAGAAAACATTTTTGTTTAACAGCTTAATTCTATATTTTATCAAATAATAATTAAAACTCAAAAATAATGATTAATAATTAATAAAATTATTAATTTCGATCTCAAATTTTCAGATAGAAAATCCTCGATACCTGAGACAGAAGCCAATCCCAGTTTCTCTGGTAGGTGAGAATTTCAGTGGACTTTTCCTATGGACAGGTTTTTTTTTTTTTAAAGATTTTATTCATTGAGAGAGAGTGAGTGAGAAAGAGTGCATGTGCAAGTATGGGGAGGGGCAGAGGCAGAGGGAGAGAGAATCCCAAGCAGACTCCACATTGGGCATGGAGTCCAGTGCAGGGCTTATCTCATGACCCTGAGACCACGACCTGAGCTGAAATCAAGAGTTGGGCGCTCAACTGACTGAGCCACCTAGGCGCCCCCTTATGGACAGATACTTTTAAATAAAATAATTATTAAGTCATTTACAGAAAAGAACAAAAGTACACATTACGAAGCATAACAGTCTTTTTTTTTTTTTTTTT